AATACTTCTGTTAGTCTCAAAGGTGCCACAGGACCCTCTGTTGCTTTTTACAGATTCAGACTAACACGGCTACCCCTCTGATACTTGACATCATTAGGAAGTTCATCCTGATAGATTTCAGACTCAGTTTTCATTATCTTAATTTAAACTCATTACTCCTAGTTCTGGATTTATACATACACACATGTACGATCTACAGGTATCTTCTATCAAGTAAAGCTATACATATTACACCAAATGCTAACAGACATCTATCCACAGTATGCTTGTAGATACACCTGTGCTTGTGTGTGTGTAAGTATCGACACACACACATATAGCAAACAGATATAAATAACGTGTTTATTTCTATATACAAATCAGTTCTGATATAATTGAACAACATGGAAAACACTGGATTTTTCCCTTGCTAAACTGAAGAATGACATTCGCATTTTTGAACCAGATACTTGACTATTAAACTCCAGAATGACTCTGATGTCTAGAAAGCCATCAATGACTGAGACTTACTGTAATTTAAGGACCATTTCTACTTGTGTTCTGCTGCCTCTCCCATACATTGAACAAACCAGCTCAGGACACACTAGACTTGTTGGTAAGGATTTTCAAATGAATAAAATGCCCTCCAACACGTGTATAAACCAACCGCCAGGACCTAACACGCTTCATTTCTAAACTGCAATTGATAAAACTCCCTGAGGGAACATCAGCCCGACTGTCTGCTCAGGGAGGTCAGTGCAGAGGAGAGCACAGTACTTACACAGTTTGAATGAGAAAGATCAGCTGCGGGTCTTGAAGTCTGCTCCCAGATCCTTGAATCGAATGACAGTGCAGTTACTCCCCAGCGCCGAGCCCTGCAGAGTAATACAGGAACCAGACCTCTTTGGTTTACTTTTACATTGACGTCAGCGCCTTTTTCTAGCATCCCCGGCTCATTTTGGTAACAGGCCATTTTAGGGGGTGGGGGGGAGAGAAAGAGGAGTAAGTGGAATAGTTTTATAACTGTCTTTAGGAGGGAGCCAGGCAGCTGTGGGATGGTGTGTGGGCAAGTGTGTGTATTGAACATAGATGAACACTGCATATAGAGCAGTGCAGACTTTTATGGACGATGATTCTGCTCTCACCCCAGTTCTACACTGGTGTTCCACCACACAAAGGAGTCGCTCCTTATCTACACCACTACGAGTGTAAAATGCGCCCATTCCGATGTGGTCCTGTTTTACCCCCACTGCTGTAAGTGCCTGTGCCTGGCAGTAGAAAAATCACGTCTTGTGTGTGTGCAGGATATATGGGCATGCACGGGTAGGCCAATTTTTTAAAAAATGGATGCCTACAGTTAGGATCCTAAGTCTATATTTAAGTACCTAAGTAAGTGGCCGGATTTTGAAAAGGGCTCAGCACCTAGCCGATCTTTTTAAAGTCAATGGGAGCAGCAGATACTACCCCAGAATATCTGGCCGTGTAGTGTATAGGTTTGTGCAGTATTACTGTGTATGTGTGCATATTTTGCAATATGGTATGCACATACACTGTGTGTACAGGATGTGTATGTATGCACAATATAGCTGTGTGTACTATGTTCATACACTCAGTATAGTGGATTCATATTTGTGGAGAGCTTTGAGATCTACAGGCCGAAGCTGGGAGCACCGGGCAAGCGCTAAGAGTTATGATTCAAGCTGGTTGAATTGTTCGGTTTGGTGAATTTAGCACTTCTTTCTGCTTGTGAATAGATCCAGGTTGTTCTGCTTGGACAAACAATTTTCAGGGTCTCAACCATATGTTATGAATCATGCCCCAAAATAACGTTAGATTTCTTTTCAGGCATGATCCTGCAAACACTAAGGGTACGTCTACACTACCCGCCGGATCGACGGGTAATGATCGATCTATCGGGGATTGATTTATCACGTCTAGTGTAGACGTGATAAATCGATCCCCAATCACTCTGCCGTCAACTCCTGTACTCCACCGCGGCGAGAAGCGGAAGCGGAGTCGACGGGGGAGGGCGGCAGTGGACCCCGCACCGTGAGGATGCGAGGTAAGTTGACCTAAAATACGTCGACTTCAGCTACGAGAATAGCATAGCTGAAGTCGACATATCTTAGGTCGATCCCCCCCGCCCCAGTGTAGACCAGGCCTAAGAGTCTGTCTCCACTGCACACTAAGCCCAGGTCAGTGGCCTCCAAGCTTGTGGACTCGGTATTTCCAAACCCGTGCTTAGCAACCACACTGCATTGTGAACCCGGGTTTACAATTGCTGGACCCAGGTCTCACAACTGTGCTAACACGTCCACATTGCCCTATGCAGACCTTCTGACTTGGGTCTGTGGCTTGGCCAGTGTCCATGACGGGGCTTGGACTGAGTCACAGCGGGACTTGAACACTGACCCTACGCCCCGGCAGGGTCCTAGGATCTGGGTCCTGAATGCTTGCTGGCCGAGTCAGACTGCTTTGTGTGTGGATGGAAAGAGGGCTTGGGCTCAAACCTGAGTCAGAACCTGGGCTTCGTGTGCAGTGTAGACATACCCTTACATACTCTGGTACTAAAAGCTCCTGTGATGAAGCTGAAATGGAACCTACAACATCACAACAGTAAAGTTACTAAGACTACAAGCTCTTTGGGGCATGGGCTGTCTGGCACGATGGGGCCTTGCTCCATAATTGGAGCCCTGGGGCACTACCACCGTGCAAATAATACGTGAAATTATCATCAGCAGCTGTGTTTGTATCCCACCTGCAGTGATCCCCGGAGCAATTACACTGAGTGGAGTAACAGAGGGTCCTGTGGCACCTTTAAGACTAACAGAAGTATTGGGAGCATAAGCTTTCGTGGGTAAGAACCTCACTTCTTCAGATGAGTGGAGTGTATTCGCCAATACATATGTGATGAATGTTACACATTACACACCACATTGCTGTGTATTATTTTAGATCATATGTGAACGCTGTGTAGTTATGCTACGTTCCATAACTATGAATTGTGTTATGCTTTTCTCAGAATGCTGTTCACTCATGCCATCCCGTAACACTTTGCAACAGTTAAACCTGAATCTTGGCACAGGCAATTACAAAACTCTGTCAGGAACAAGATGGATGACAGTTAGGGGGTGCTTACATGGCCCACTGGCACCTGGAATGTGATGTCCAAAGCAAAGATAAGGAAGGCACAGGACAGGAAACAAGAGAAACTGGTACATAGTGGAGGGGTTGACCCTTGGGTGACGTATAGACTCCTAGCGGTCAGTGAGGTCATGCCTAGTGGTCAGAGCAGGCATCAATCAAAGCCCAGGGCCAGAAGCAGAGGCCAGATGCCAGAGCCAAGGGTCAGAGCTGGAGTCAGGAATCAGAGCCGAGGGTCAGAACCGGGTTACCTGGAATGAGGCAAGGTAGGAGCTACGCTGCAGCAAGCACAGACACTATCACAGCCACAGCCAAACACTTTGAGCAGCCACTTAAGAGCCAGTCTGTTTAAGAGCCGGTCTGCTCACTCTGCCAATCAAGCCGGTGGCGTAGCCAATTAGGCAGCCTACTACAGGCCAGCTGTGCTCGTTAGGGTGCCTGAACCGTGGCTTTGCCCAACACCCTGCTGCCTGATACTCTCTAACTTGTAAACAACTGGGCTAGAAACGTAAGTAGTCTTAGATGCATATTTTCAAAGCAGACCTACTGTGTAAGGTGAAGGCAGTGAGATTGCTTCCCAAAAGGGTGGTACATACGTCTCCTTTCGTCCGCTGCTTTGTCTTTGCCTCATAAACTGACTCAGCTTGGCTGTTTGGTCTCCTGAATACTTTTAATATCAGAGGGGGGAGGGATAGCTCAGTGGTTTGAGTATTGGCCTGCTAAACCCAGGGTTGTGAGTTCAATCCTTGAGGGGGCCACTTGGGGATCTGGGGCAAAATCAGTACTTGGTCCTGCTAGTGAAGGCAGGGGGCTGGACGTGATGACCTTTCAAGGTCCCTTCCAGTTCTAGGAGATGGGATATCTCCATTAATTCTCAGTCTTATAATTCTCAGAGCAAGAGTGTAGTCAAGCAATTGACTACCCTTAATGAACCAGGGCTTACTACTGGTTGTATCCCCACTGAAAACCCTAGTAACAGGTAAGCTCACTAGTGTGGGATCATGGAAGAAGACCCTTTCATTGTATCTGGAGCAGGCACCTGATTTAGTCTATATCTGTCGAGGGCCTAGCATGCTCCAGCCACTGTATGACTCCATGAAGTCCACTGTGGACTTTGCTATGCTAATGTAATTAGCCTGGAAGGCACTCTAGTGTCATGGTGATGGGCACTAGCACAAATCTTGATAGATAGGTCTTCTTATAAGTATTACAGAGCTACTGAGAGGTCTCAAAAGAGATCAGGTGCTGCACAAATGCACAGTAAGAAACGGTTTCTGCCCCAAAGAATTTACCAACTGAACAGACAAAGAAGAGGCAGAGACGTGAAACCCTAAGGTCACCCGGTAGGTGAGTGGCACAGCCAGGAATTGAACCCCAATCTGTCGAGTCCCACTCCAGCATCCGAGCAAGCCAGACTTCCATCTCCGCTCTCACTCTTTATAAATAATAATAAAGCTTCTAAAATGCCTGGTGTCGTTGCTCTGAACCAGTGATTTCTCACTGTTACGGGAAGGCAAAGGCTCACAGAAATGCAGACCCTGGAAAGGTCTATATTTATTCTTAGAAATGCTGTTACCCATTGCAGGCTCCGTTTCAGGAGCTTTGAATACCAGAGCATGTAAAGGAAAAGGATCTATTTTTTTCCCAACTCTACAAACTCATCCAAAGGTCATTCTGAAACAGGAATAAAACTGTCTTTGAAATCTAAAGCTGCTGTAATAGCGTTTTTGGCAGTGAATAAGAAACTTGAATATTTGAGGTTTACGCCGTGAAACACAAAGGGATGGAATGCCTCAGGAAAAGGTTAAAGCCCAAGGAAAGGATTAAGTTCGGCATATTTTCGATACGAGGAATGGCCCTGCCATGCCCTGCTCTGTGACCGACAACAACGTTTAGAGGAGTCTAATGGCAGTGGACAAAAACCTGAGCTCAGCGGGTGGAGTTAAGGCTCTAAAGTCAGACCAGCTACACCAGAAAAAACATCCCAGCAAGGTTATAGTTGTAGGATGTTTGGTAACCCCCGTCCCCCCACAGCAGGAGTACCAGCTGGAGTGATAGTCCCCTGGGTCAGAGTCCCAGACACAGCGTTAACGCTCCATTTCCCCAGCAGGAGTCCTTGTCCTCCCCGAGGACCTTTCACAGCTTTGTAGAGCCCACAGGGTTGTCCTGGGAGAACTCACAATCGGAGGATATCGAAGTGCCCAGACCGGGGCTTTTCTGTGTCTCTCTTTGAAGCTGAATGCCACCTTTGTAGACCCCAGATTCTAGGGTATTCTGGGGACTACTTGGGTCCCTGCCTTCGGGCTTCTTTGACTTATGCTCAGCTGCCAATGGCCCAAAGGGACAATTCTGGCAGCTGCGAATAGCCGGAACGCAGTGGCACTCTGACGAGGCCCTTTTTTCTCCAAGCGTGCCGCATGCTCTGGGAGCTGAGGGCATGTCATGCGGCTATACTGGCTTTATGCTACCTAGGGAGTCTTCTTGTGCAAGAGGAATTGCTAGGTAGTTGGCTAAGCTGGATTTCCAACTGCCTTGCACTGCAGAGGGAGTCAGGGGTCACAAATCTCCCAAGATCCCCATGAAGAAAGGAGTATCATCTTGGTTATGATCTCCATCCACCAGCAGCAAAATGGGGCACTTTCATTCTCCACGAGTATGACTTTAGATTAAAGAAACAACAACAATGAAGCATCAGAGCAGAGCAGAGCATGTCCCTCTAAGATCCTCAGCCCATCTTCACCCCAGATCGCCTCGTACCACCCGAGAGTGGTGAAATCAGACAAAAACACGGAGTCTCCTAGGAAGTCTGCACTTAGACTGGGTGAAGGCAGCTCTAAGGAAGGGCACTGGGATGGGATCTTCCTCTGATCCTTTCTGAGCACCCAAGGCGGCATCCTCTGCAGTAGAATTTTCATTTACATCATCTTCCTTTCCAGTGGTTACGTTGATATTGCCATCAGGCACTAAGGTACCACGGTGGTAGATGAACCTAGGCAGAGATAGAGAGAGACAGTTTAGATCTATCTAGATTGCAAACATACTCCTAAGGCCCCCTATTATCTGAATACTATCTATCTAGATTATTCTGAGTATCTATCTGAGTATTATCTATCTAGCTTACTAACATACTATTAAGGCCCCCTGAAGTATCTGAGCACCTCAAAATCTTTAATGTATTTGTCCTCACGACACCCCTGTGAGGTAGGGAAGTGCTATTTTCCCCATCTTACAGATGGCTAATGAAGGCACTCAGTGATTTGCCCAAGGCACATAGGAAATTTAACCCAGGTTGCCCAACACAATGCCCTAACCACTAGACAATCCTTCCTCTCTGATAGGAAATCAACTCCTATTTCATGCCTTTAGCCTTGTTAAAAATTTGAGAAGCAGCTTGTTTGTGTCACAGATGCTACGAGAGAGAGGGAGAGTTTGAGTAACTGGTGGTTACTGTGGTTCTTTAGCTACAGGGACCCCAAGATTCGCAGTGAAAAAGAACCAAACGCTTACAAGTGTGGAGGAATCAAAGGGTGAGGAAATCTGCTTGTGAAGACATTTTGACACTATCCACTCAACTGGACCATGTGGAGAGCAGACGGACTCCCTGAACACACTCATGGTGTAATTACTACACATCCCTTTATTTCTTTGTTGTTTTATGTGTTTTTTTCCCTTTACTTTTTAAAAGTAAAAACAATGAGGAGTCTGGTGGCACCTTAAAGACTAACGGATTTATTTGGGCATAAGCTTTCGTGGGTAACTGAAGTAGTGTTTTTTTTACCCATGAAAGCTTATGCCCAAATAAATCTATTCATCTTTAAGGTGCCACCGGACTGCTTGTTGTTTTTGATACAGACTAACACGGCTACCTCCTGATACTTTTTAAAAGTAGTTTGTTAAATATCAGAGCCTGGCTCTATCAGTAAGGTAAGCAGTGGATTGTAGATCTCATAATGGATGGAAATTACATGTAATGCTTTTTTAGCCCTGATGAGTTGTCCTGGGATTATCCTTGCTTCCAGTTTATATGAACTTGAAACTAATCTTATGTTTTGAGCATTCATGTGGCTTTCCCTAGGTGGCCACGTCCACCTAATAGATCTGATTCTCTGAAGCTTTGCCTCTAATGGAACCAATCCTGTGCAAAGGCAGTGCGGGGTAGGTGTAAAAGGCTACCAAGTCAGATATCACTACTTAGGTACACCAGCAGTAGCACTGTGCACCCACTTTCCATAGGTATAACTTGTGACAGACGGACAATATCCTGGACAAACCTGATGGAGTTAAAATACATGTAAACCTTATTGAATGAGGTTGAATACCTTTTCGGTCCGTTGTTTTTAAAATGCAATTGGGTATGTGTCACTGTGCCATTGTATGCAAATCTTCCGTGAGGCGGGGAATGCTAATATACCTCCTCCATTATCAACCCTTTGAGACCACACCCCTGGAGAGGTTCACATATACTAGTTCAAGCTGCATTCTCCAGGGACCAACAGGCAAAGACAAGATTTTTGGATAAATAGACTGGACCTACTGAGGCCCCTCAAGACTGTACTGAAGCTGTGATGCACTTAAAACCACAAGGAAACCCTTGGCTGGGGGCTGAAGGACTGTTCCTACCAGAGCCCATGTTAGGGTTGGAGTGATCACAGAATCATAGAATATCAGGGCTGGAAGGGACCTCAGGAGGTCATCTAGTCCAACCCCCTGCTCAAAGCAGGACCAATCCCCAACTAAATCATCCCAGCCAGGGCTTTGTCAAACCGGGCCTTAAAAACCTCTAAGGATGGAGATGCCACCACCTCCCTAGATAACCCATTCCAGTGCTTCACCACCCTCCTAGTGAAATAGTTTTTTTTAATATCCAACCTAGACCTCCCCCACTGCAACTTGAGACCATTACTCCTTGTTCTGTCATCTGCTACCACTGAGAACAGTCTAGATCCATCCTCTTTGGAACCCCCTTTCAGGTAATTGAAGGCTGCTATCAAATCCCGCCCCCACATCTCTTCAGCAGACTAAATAACCCCAGTTCCCTCAGCCTCTCCTTGTAAGTCATGTGCCCCAGCCCCCTAATCATTTTCATTGCCCTCCGCTGGACTCTCTCCAATTTTTCCATGCTTTTTAGTAGCACGTGTGTAGGTTCTCTGAGTGATTTTGATATATTTTCCCTGTAGTGCTTTTACCTTCCGAATAAAACAGGCTTGAGTAAAGAGAGCTGTGTGGTAACTCTGTAACTGCTGACAGTCTCAATGTTAAGCGACTCTCACAAGAAAGCAAGCAGGCCGGTTGATCAGCCTGTCTTGGCTGGGAATAACACAGTGAAGGCAGTGAACTGTAGAGCCTGGAAATACCCTGGTCAGAAGCAAGTGAGATGCAGAACTCCACCCAATAAAGGCAATGGCCAGGGGAGATGGAAACCTGAGAGTGGGTGGCCCTTGCTGGACCACTGAGGGGTAAATATAGGTGCAGTTGCCCTGAACTGTGACCTATTTCCAGAGGTGTAAGTGATAACATGAGGTGCAGGGCAGTGGAGAATTGAGCCCTAACAGTCTGCCTACAAAATTAATGGAAGTCGGCAGCCATCTTTAATTCCTTTACTGTGAATAAGCAACAGCAAAGTAGCAGTTTGTTGCTGACCCACAACTTCTGCCCTCTCTTGTCCAAACTTGGCAACTAATTCAAGGCCAGATCCAAAGAGCACTGAGTCTGTTTTAAGCCAGGCTTTTTATCAGGGCCGGCTCCAGGCACCAGCTTACCAAGCAGGTGCTTGGGGCGGCCACTCCGGAGAGGGGCGGCACATCCAGCTATTCGGGGGCAATTCAGTGGACGGTCCCTCACTCCTGCTCGGAGCAAAGGACCTTCCGCCGAATTGCCGCCGCAGATCGCGATCGCGGCTTTTTTTTTTAACGCCACTTGGGGCGGCAAAAACCCTGGAGCTGGCCCTGCTTTTTATCCAGTGGGAGTCAATTATAGTCTATAAGTACCTACATGGGGAACACATATACGATATCTGGCTCTTCAGTCAAGCAGAGAAAAGTATAATACGATCTAATGGCTGGAAGTTGAAGCTAGACAAATTCAGACTGTGTGATACAGGATGTCAGATTAGTTCATCCCATTGGTCCCGTCTGGCCTTGGAATATATGACTGGGCGTTAGACGTGTGCACTAAAATATATTTTGACTACATGCACCTTTAGTCATAGGTATGTAAGGTCAACACTCAAGCAGTGACACTACACTTCATGGATTGCTAGGCCAGATCTATGTCTGATCAAGCATCATGCATCTCTCCATATTTCCATCCCTAGCTCTCTCACACTTTGTCTCTCATCTTTGCTTGTCTCGGCAAACAGAACCCTGAGGCATCACCTTAATTATACCAATAAAGCATTTTTTTTTTAAAGGATCCCATTTTGGAGCTATTTCTGGAAGCTTTGTGGCATAAAACCTCAGGCCCATTTCTAGTATTGCTACATTTCCCCATTCCTTCAGCTCTTCCATGCCAGCTACAATTTAAAAAAATCCCAGCACATTTGTACTGCACCAAAGCCAAGCAGTTTTAAGGGCTCTCCATTACTCTCCATTCGCCCATGGGCCAGCTCACTTGGGCCCCAATTCAACAAGGCACTTAAGCACATGTTTAACTTAGGGATGTGAATAGCCCCTTTGAAGTCAATGGGATTTAAATGCTTTGCTGAAGCTGGGGCTGTAAACAAGGACTTCTCAGATGAGTAAGGGCTGGAGAGGAGCAAGAAGCCAAGGTTCACACTAGTGCTGCTTGTAAACATGAGCTTGTCACTACTTTACTTCCATGACCTTTCTGCTCAGAGCTTCTTTGCCTCTTCTACCTTCTCCTCCTTTTCTCAATCCAAGGTGGGAATGCGCAGTACTCTCAGCCTGGTACAGTACTAAAACAGCAGAAAACAAATTTCCAGACGTTTCCATTAACTCAGACCCAAGGCCTCTCCAATGTTATACTCATAAAAAGATACCTTGCTGTCACTCGCCTAACTAGCTAGCTTGCAGGGTGACCTGAACACCGATGCTTTGCAGCTGGAAGGAGATGCATTGTTTGAAAAGAAAAGAGCATGCTTGATTCATGTGACGTGATGGAGTCCTCAGAGGAGTAGGTGGGGCTTTATTCAGTCAGACCAAGTGAGGTAAGGGCCCATTGCTTTATGGCAGAGCACGGGCCAATGTAAATCTCACCTCGCTGAGGAGCGGGAATGTAAACACTGTCTATGTAAATGATGTAACTGGAGAAGTTAATTTTTCATGCCTACTCCTGCGCTCATTGATGTCAGTGGTAGTTTTGCCATTGGACTTCCATGGCTGTTAGACAGGGGTTTTAATGGCACTCACAGAAGGCATTATATATCATATTGGGACCTGGTTATGGGAGCCATCTTGAGACTTTCCATGGGTTTGCATAAGTGGGAATGGCTTTTCCTTGGCTAGCATAGTACAGCCTCCTTGGGTAAAATACAGTCTCCTAAAGCCAGACCTAAAAACCAGAACCAAAACTATTTCCATCACTCTTGTCTTTCAGGAGATCCCCATGAACAGTGAATTCATGCCCAGCACACCTCCTCGGACTGCTTTTTTCTGACTCACCCTGAGGTTGTCAAGGGAAAACTAGTAATTGTGAGGAAGAGCTGAGCATTGCCGACTAAACCAGACAGTCTCAATGAGAAAGACCAGCTCCATCATAGCAAGAGTTATCGTCCTCAGCACCTGCGCAGATATGAGGGTGTATAAGAGGCTGCATCATATCGGTCCCCGGAGTGATCAAAGTGGGGAAGAGGAGCAAATTCTGTAGCTTGCCATAGAAACCAAAATAATTTGTATAATTCTGACCTTTCAAGGCATGCCTACACTTGGGGAATGAGACGGTGTCAACAGTGGGTCCCTCCTGGCCATCCCACAACTGGGGTGGAAATGGTTTAACTTCTTGCATAGACAGACCCAAAACATTTTCAACACCTGTTACAGAAAGTGTAATACACATCTTGGGTCAAAGCCACCACTGGGGCCTTGTTCCACTGCCATTCCACTTTTCACTGCTCCGGGGCTTCAAGGTAGGTGCAAATGTAATTTGTGTTCACCCTAAGGCCTCATAGTATGAAGTGGCCCGAGTGTAACTGGGAATTAGTGTTACTCCACTAAAGGTCAGTGCCTAATAAAAAAGTCACCCCTGTCTCTCTCCCACAAAGTTCTGGCCATTATGCTCTGGAAGACCATTCCTTTATGACTCCAGATTGGTCGACTACCTTAACCCTACCCCATGAGCAAGGCCAACACCTAAAACAGCTAGTCAGAGTAAAAGAGCTGCCGCATGCGCTGGATAGAGAAAGCCAAAGAGCAGGAGAGGGAGTTCAAATCATTTCACCAGCCTTGTTTAATCAGTAAAGGGGCAGGCCATCAATGGGACATGCTTTGCCAGTCTGTACCGAAGCCCTTGTAATTCCAGCAGCAGGGAAGAAGCCCTTTGAAAGGAAGACATTGAGAATGCCTCATTGTACATCAGTGATTCCCAGCATCTATCAGCATTGATTTTCACCCCCAGCCTATAAAGCAGATCTATGAACTCACAGGGAGGCAGTAAATCACCTGCGAAATAGCCGCTTTGTTGATATATTTTATAGCTTGTTAATTTACACTCTCTAAGGCTTTTCTCTGTGCTTCAACGGCTTGGCCAGCACGTTCTCCAGGAGTTTACTAGAAACGGACACCTATCATTCCAGGAAGAGACTGCACACTTGCTGTTGGTTCATTCCTATTGATCACTGGGAGAACTGTTTTGTAAATTACATTGGATGCAAAATTGTAATTAATTATCTTCAGCTGGCAGCATCTCTCTAAGGCAAAGGCCTATCGAGCCGTGATGGGCAAACGGCCAACCATTTGGTGGTTTGCTGCAGTGCTGATAAGCAACCAGCAGTTCTGAGGCTTATCCGAGGCCATTCCCATGTGTCATGAACATACAGCTAAGGGTAGCATAAAATCCCTCCTTTACATGTAAAGGGTTAAGAAGCTCAGATAACCTGGTTGGCACCTGACCAAAAGGACCAATAAAGGGAGAAGATACTTTCAAATCTGTGGAGGAAGGTTTTTGTTTTGTGTTCCTTTGTTCTCTCTGGGTCAGCAAGGAATCAGGGCAGGGAAAATACATCTCCTAAAGCCATACCTGAACTAAGCCTCTAAGATTAAAAATTGTAAGTAATAGGAAGGAAATGCGTTAGATTATTTTTTGTTTTAGCTTGTGAATTGTTCCTGTGCTAAGAGGGAGGTTTATCCCTGCTTTTGTAACTTTAAAGTTTTGCCTAGAGGGGAATCCTCTGTGTTTTGAATCTGATTACCCTGTAAATTACCTTCCATCCTGATTTTACAGAGGTGCTTCTTTTACTTTTTTCTTTATAATAAAGTTCTGTTTTTAAGAATCTGATTGGGGTTTTTAGTGTCCTAAAAACCCAAGGGTCTGGTCTGGGCTCACCTTGGTTACTCTCAAGCCTCCCAGGAAAGGGGGTGAAAAGGTTTGGGGGGATATTTTGGGGAAACAGGAACTCCAAGTGGTCTTTTTCCTGAATCTTTGTCTAACTCACTTGGTGGTGGCAAGAGCAAGGAAGAATTTGTGCCTTGGGAAAGTTTTTAACCTAAGCTGGTAGAAATAAGCTTAGGGTTTTTTTTCATGCGGGTCCCCACATCTGTACCCTAGAGTTTAGAGTGAGGAGAGACCCCTGACAGCATGGACCAGTTTCTTGCCTCCACTTTCTAGTTCAGACAAGGTGTTTCCTGCTGTAAGAATAGCCTGGTTGCATCCCATGTAGACTAATTTCTCCTGTGCTCATTTTTATGTCTCCCACAATCCAGTCAGTCAGTTGTCTCTTATAGCTAGAATGGCTCAGAACAGTGCCACCTTCCCCACCACCACCAGGTTAGTAGAGCAAGGAGGACCATTATTTGCAAGCGACATTCAGCCCTGCATCATTCTTTGATGCAGGCTGGAACTTCAAATTCCAGATGCAACTGCCTCCAACGCTTAAATTGGCATCCAGCGTGTTCCAGGTCTGAAAGGCGCAGTTGCAGGCTCTTAACGTTACCGAAGCCATACACAATCCCCACAGTTGTCTGTCTACAATATCGCTAATGCATCTGTCAGGAAAACATTCAAGCACCATTCCCAGCTGGATAGCGTGGTTCTTTGGTGTGGTCACTGTGAATGACTGCTGTGAAATCGGATCACGTCTCTCTCTCTCCTTACCGACCATGCCAGCTTCAGAAACAGGCAGCTCGCTTTTGGGCTCCCAAAGAAGTTTAGCTTCAAGTCTGGAAGCGGTGTGTGTGCAAGGAAAGGGAGCAAGGACGCGTGAGCCCCTGGTAGAATGAACCACTTCTCAGCGTGCTCTGCAGAGGGACAGCCCTCACCTGAAATTCCCAAAGGGCTAGGCAGATCTCCTTCTGGTTATGTCTCTGGCTGGCAAGAAAAAATGCAGATGATGCTAAAATGAGCCTGTTCAGCTCTTAGTGGTACATAGAAACGACAAAGGCTATTTTTAGGTTGATTTTGCTGAAATTAGAGCAGCCTGTTTTCTACGTACATGAGAGTGAGGAAGATGGAGAGCAACGCCGAGAAAGAGAGGGAGATGAAGGAGTCAGGGATGGAGCGTGGGAAGAGAGAGGTACAGAAAACAAGAGATTGGACTCAGTTAGTTACACCAGTGTAAATCCAGAATAATTCCAGAGGTTCCAGGAGAGAGTCATTCCGTACGACTCAGCCGAGAGATGGTGGGTCAGTCAGCAGGGGGCATGTGATGACTCTGCTATGGGAGAATCAGCTGTTACCCCTTTCCATCTAGCTCAGGAGGGATATTGCTCTCCAGGTGGCTGGGGACAGAGGGATGGTGTCCGGGTTACTGTGGAAGGAGCGTGGGGTGGTAGGCAGTGGGAGACTATTTGGGACCTACCAGATGCTAGAGCCAGTGTGGATGAAATGCCTACAGTGCTTGCCTAGGAGTGGTGCCACTAGTGAGGATTGGTGCAACATGGTGCTCCAGGGCCCTAGATTCATAGGCTCATCGATCCCAAGGCCGGAAGGGACCATTAATAATCATGTGGCCTTGGAATCTTGGGTCCTGAGCTCTCTAACAATGGGACGGCCATTCAAGATGGACCTAAGCACACTTCATCATCCTATTCAGTATAAAGCCGTATAGATGCAGATGAGATGAATCAGAAAACATTCAGCCCTCCCAGAGTGGAAATTACCCTTCTCTCCCCAGTGTTGGAGCTAGCAAAGGGCACCAGCTCTCTCCAAAGGATGCCAAAATGATAGCCCTAAAACCATGAAGAGTGCCAGGTCCTGATAGTAACAGCAGCGGCCTTCCCAGAGCAGGGCCTGGCAGTTGGGACAGTACCGTGGGGAGCCAGGAACGTGGCGCTGCACATAGGCTCCCATGCAGGTGGGAGGTTACAGGTTAGAGAGAGAGTGACCATGATGGAGAAGGGACCACAGATGGGCAGCAAGGCTAACCCAGCCCAGACACTGGGAACATGGATTACAAACGGATGGGTGAAGCACACCCCTTGCGCAGAGAGGGGCTCTGAAGCAGAAAGCTGCATTGCTATGCAATGTAATTGCATAATATTTCATAGGGATCATGTAAATGGTTTGTATGCTCTCGCTGATCGGACCCGGAATACGTCATCTTTGGGCTGGGCTGGGCTGTTAACGACCCAGCAATCGATGTAGAACTGTTGAGAAAGCTGATGGAACCACTTCAGAACAGTGGCAGCCGGGAAGAAGGGGAACTGATTCAGACTTCCCTGGGCTCCAGTGAGCTCAGGCAAGGGGCTCAGCTAACAAGGTGAGCCCGATACGGCCAGCCTCCAGGGAGCAATGTCAGTGGAGCCTGTAAGTTGCCAATAACCTACCGAGCTGCAACATGGTGTTGGGGATGTGTGGGAGGAAGTAAAAAAAGCCAGGTCACATTGGGTCACTGATTGTTGCATCAATGGATTGATTTCTTCTTTTCCCCAGTTTAAGCAATCACACTCAGCTCCTACACATAGGCCAAGAGCTGGCCTGGCCACAGGGTTATTCCAGTTTTATGCCGATGTCCAAATGCCTCCATGTCATAGAATCATAGAAGATTAGGGTTGGAAGAGACCTCAGGAGGTCATCTAGTCCAACCCCCTGCTCAAAGCAGGACCAACCCCAACTAAATCATCCCAGCCAGGGCTTTGTCAAGCTAGGCCTTAAAAACCTGTAAGGATGGAGATTCCACCACCTCCCTAGGTAACCCATTCCAGTGCTTCACCACCCTCCTAGTGAAATTGTGTTTCCTAATATCCAACCGAGACCTCCCCCACTGCAACTTGAGACCACTGCTTCTTGTTCTGTCATCTGCCACCACTGAGAACAGCCGAGCTCCATCCGCTTTGGAACCCCCTTCAGGTAATTGAAGGCTGCTATCAAATCCCCCCTCACTCTTCTCTTCTGGAGACTAAATAAGACCAGTTCCCTCAGCCTCTCCTTGTAAGTCATGTGCCCCAGCGTCCTAATCATTTTCATTGCCCTCCATTGGACTCTCCAATTTGTCCACATCCCTTCTGTTGTGGGGGGACCAAAACCGGATGCAATACTCCAGGTGTGGCCTCACCAGTGCCGAATAGAGGGTAATAATCACTTCCCACCATCTACTGGCAATGCTCTTACTAGCATGTTACACTAGCTAAAACTGGAACAATGCACTAGTGGGCAGGGGGCTAGCTTACGACTCAGAAGAGCCAGGTTGATTCCCTGTTCTGCCACTGACTTTCTGTGTGAGACCTTAGGCGAATCACATAGTCTCACTGGGTATATCTACAAAGCAACTAGACACCCTCCCATCCTGCAGGGTCCTAGAGCCCGGGCTCCAGCCCAGAAGTCTATACTGCAAGGAAACAGCCCCACTGCCAGAACCCTCATCAGCTGGCACGAGCCAGCCATGGGTTTTCCTTTGTTGTGTAGGCTGTTCCAGGGTTACCTGTAAAGTGGGGACAATAGCATGTCTCTATCTTACAAGGCTGTTGTGTGTACGTTAAGACGGTGAGGCGGCTCAGATGCTGTGCTAATGGGAGCTATGTCAGCACATGAATCAGTGTGATCTCGACGTTATCAAAGGGGAAACCGAGGCAGAGGGAGGGGAGTTGACTTGCCCAGGGTCACACAGCATATGAGGGGCAGGAGCTGGGATTAGAGTGCAGGGATCTGCTGTCTCCCACCCTGAGCTCGTTTTCCCAGCCCGGGCTGCTTTTCAGCACTTTGTCATGGCTTTAAAAGAGAGGGCGTGGCCTGTGCATTTGTTGTACGTGAAAATATATCTCAGGGCCGGCCCCTCTCTGCACCTGCTGCAACAGCTGATAGTGAAGGGATAATTCAGGTGACAGATTCCCAGAGTGGAGCTAGGAAGATCCCGGGGCAGAGCCGTTTTCCTGGAGGGCACAATTCCCTCCCCATGATGTCCAGCTGAGCCTGAACCTCACTTAGGTTGGAGGGGATCCCGCAGAGCACCCCAGCCATGTCCCTCTGCCTGGCCACCATCTGGCCCCGTTCCCAGTGGCTCTGGCTAAGGAAGGGAGAAGAGGGTGTGGCTCTCTGTCTCAGAATTAGATGTATTTCTAGTGTCTGGATAAATGCTGGGTACCCGAGAAGTGTTTGTGAGCTCTTCCTAACGCACCCAGCTGCGCAAGGCTCTGCTCATGGCACTGCAGGAAGAGAAGATGGGGATTCAGTCCCTGCCATCTTCCCTCTGAATCCCTATTGAGCCAACATCCCAGCCAGGTGGTAGCGGGCAGCGTGATGTTGAAGGTACAAGTTTTCAATGAGATGGAAAACTGAGCACTTACCCTGATCATGGACTCCAGGACACCTTTCACTAGAGCAGAAGTTTTAGCCTCAATGCCCCAGACAAATTCCAGGCTGGACAACTGCATTGTGCCTTGCTTAAATTCCCTCTGCAGTTTCAACTCGATGGTATTCTTCATTTCTTATTGTGTAGCGTTGCGGTGCGCTATTAAACAGCTGCCATGTTCCACCTCAGAGGTGGCTGCATTTCTGTGTTATGAATTACTTTAATCCATTCTTATTTGTACAGTACTGCTCTTGTGCAGGGTGCTTCATAGACAAGTATGATGACAATGTCTCTGCTGCTCCAAAGAGTTTATAAACTACACAGTAATGATCATTTCCTAGCTTGTAATGCTGTTTGGAAAGGTCCCGTGTGAA